TGTTATCATTTAGTTATTCAGGGTAGTTAGTTTTTGCTGCCTGCTTTTCAAAAGTAGAGCTCGTTGTTATCTAATTGAATTGTATCCACAAAAAGAAAATTTTTTTTTTTTTTTTTTATATGTGTTTCTAATCAGTATGTATATCATAGAACATAAGATATCCTTTCTCAAGAAAAGGCAAAAACTCTTTACCTTCAAAGTTATCTATATTTATTCTGACTCACTAAGTAACAAAAATTTAGTGCTCAAGTTTATAACTCATAAAGTATATGTTTCTTCATCTAAAAGAGAATAGCAAGGGATTGGTTTGAATCCTCGACACTAATATATATAAATTTTTTTTTTTTTTAAAAGGTGATAAAATTGGTTAGCATCCATTAACAAGGGCTCTTAATCATCCAAGAAATAATATTTTACAGTTTTATAACTTTTAACGTTAACAACATCGCCAACCCGCCTAAGGCTAATAGTTGGCCTAAAGCTTTAGGATTTGAGTGAGGTGGATAATAGGGTTTTGAGTTTTATAACTTTTAAGTTAACAACATCGCCAACCGGCTTAAGGCTAATGGTTGGCCTTAAGCTTTAGGATTTGGGTGAGGCGAATAATAGGGTTTTGAGTTTACCTCAAGCTTTAGGATTTGGGTGAGGCGGATAACAAGATTTTGAGTTTACCTCAAGCTTTAAGATTTGGGTGAAGCGAATGACAGGGTGAGTAACTTTCTAGCCATTACCCATGTAAAAAAAAAAAAAGGGGGGGTTAACAATATCGTTTTTGTTTATTTATTTATTACCGTATAATGAAAAACACCAAAATTGGAATGAGAAGTACAGGGCTCAGGCGCGTAACGAAGTTAACTGTTAAGCCTTCCAGCATTCCAGTGTGTGCGAGTGCGACAGTAAACTTCAACTCGAAACCCTAAAATCCCAAATTCTCAACCTGAATCAAATTTGGAAGAATGATACATCAAATCAAATCTTTCCTATTGATTTCCATTCATTTATAGCCCTGCATTTCCAAACAATCACCAATTTTTCAACCAATGTCTTCTTCAATATTCAATAATAACAGCGGCGTCTCAATCTCAGTTTCAGACGACGATTCAGACGAACTCGGCCGCATCCGACTCCGAATCCCCAGGAAGCGGAAGAAACATGGCCGAGTCAGGACCGAGTTAAATCAGCGGGTCATCAGGTGGCTTCTCAAGTACTGGACACTCCTGATCTTTCTTCCTGCTGCTGGATTGCTCCTATTCGAGGCCTCTAGAATAGGTGGGAAACCGAATTTGGTGGTCAACACGGAACTCAGTTCATTGAAGAGGACAAATTTATTGGGGAACTCGGAGTTCCAGAAAGTGAAGAAAACGAGTGACAAAAGGAACTTGGAGGCCAATTTGAATCGATTGGATCCACCTCGTAAGTGTTTATTGAACTCAAATTTTTAATAATCTTTTCTCAAATTTTAAGCTTTAGCTCAATAGATATTTTTCTTCTAAAATCTTCATACGGTTAATTGACTAGTCCACTTAATATGTGCTTGTTGTTTTGAGGGCGATGTGTTTGTTTATGGTCTTTCCGTTTTAATTGATATAATGGATGTTAAATTTAGTTTCTTTCTTTCCTTTTTTTTTTTTTTTCCTTTTGTCACCAATGTTAAATTTAGTTCAATATATGAAAAAGGAACCTGTTTTGGGAATGTGGCAGGTTGCTTGAAGCTCCTACCTCCTGAAGAACTTGAACAGTTGGATATTCCTATTGGTGAAGAATCTAATTCCCCTGTTAAAAAGCTGGTCTACATATCAGGCAATGATACACCTTATAAAGGAGGGAACTCTACCCTCTCTTGGCAGCAGACAAATGGCACGCGGTTTAATTTATTTACAGGAAACCAATCTTTTGAGGAGAGAGAGAGGAGTTTTAAGGTTACAAACCATTTCCAGTGTTCTTTCCTAAATTTAGATATCATGTCATTGTTGTTGTGGAGAAGTTTGATTTGCCAAATCTTCTGTGTTGTGGATTACTGCAGAATGTGCTCTGTGCTCTTACTGTGAAGATTGAATTTGTTAATTATAAACTTCTTGAAAATTGCTTTTTTTATGTGCTTGCTTATATTTACATCTAAAAACAAGTTGTTTCTACAGGTGGATGAAACTGCTATCCTACATTGTGGCTTTTACCATGAAAATGGTGGATTTAGAATTTCTGAGAAGGATCAAAGTTATATGCAAACTTGTAAGGTTGTGGTTTCAACTTGTGCATTTGGTGGTGGTGACGCCCTTTATCAACCTATAGCGATGTCTAAGGCATCGATTCAAAAGGTGAGCATATAAGACGCCAAATACTTGTGAGTTGTGACTTGTCTTTGTCTTGAATGTTCATTATTTCATTTTAAAATGTTATCTATGGATGTAGGTTTGCTATGTTGCATTTTGGGATGAAGTTACTCTTGCAGCACAGGAATTAGAAGGTACTAAAATTGGTGAGGATGGCTTTATTGGGAAATGGCGTGTCGTGGTTGTATGGGATCTTCCATTTGTAGACCAAAGACTGAATGGCAAAATACCAAAGGTATGGTAATTACAGATAGAGCAGAATTGATAAAGGAAAAGGAAGAAACGTGGGCCAGAAAATAGGATAAGATATCATTCACTTCATTATTTGTGTATTAATATCTTGTACCATGCTGGATATTGTATTTGCTGCATGTTCTTCCATCCCTTAATGTTTTACGCACCTGGTCCCATCTCTTTGGCTCCTAAGAGGTGCTATCAAGTTACTAAATCTCTTCTTATCTGTTTCAATCTACTCTCCCTTGTTTGTTGCTAGAACCATGGATTTGCATCTTGCACTGTTAAGCTATTTATTCATGATGCCATTGCACAAATTCGGTTTTGATCTTAAATTGTCTATGGAAAATATATCTGAGGATCTCATCTTGGTTATATAGGATTTGATTGGTTCTCTAATGTTATTTTATCATGGATTCTTGTTTGTTTCTTACACAGTTTTCACGTGTATAAGTTTATATGCATTCATGTTTCCATGAACTTGTTGCTTGTGCAATTTTTCTGAAGATTGTATTGTTTTTATGTCATCAGATGTTGCCTCATCGTCTCTTTCCTCAAGCAATGTATTCTATTTGGGTAGACTCAAAATCTCAATTTAGGAGGGATCCTTTAGGTGTTTTAGAAGCTCTCCTCTGGCGTACGAATTCTGTGCTTGCTATTTCAGAGCATGGAGCCCGAAGCAGTGTATATGATGAGGCTAAAGCTGTTGTGAAGAAAAATAAAGCCAAGCCAGAAGAAGTGCAAGTGCAACTGACTCAATACCGCCATGATGGTCTTCCTGAGGACAAGAGATTTAATGGAAAGAAAGGTATCCTTTTATCTTCTTTTGTTTTTACAAACAAACATGCTGCAGTGAGAAATAATATTATTGTGATAACAGTATCTAGAAAGGATGAACCATAATTTGGAAACATCTTGATTTCTTCTGCTTCAGTTCATGCCATGTATGTCTTGGTGACCGAGTTTCAGTCTGCTTTAAGTTGTCTAAATCCCTATGCTTCTGAATTTGGAGGCTTTGGATATTTCTAGTAGTGGTCTTAGAAGCAGGAGTCAATCTATTATGTACAGCCAAAGTTGAAAATATCTATTTATTCATGATCTTGGAAGAGCTCCAGAAGGAGGTAGGATTAACTGGGGTCTTGCATTTCTGCCTACCAGGCCACTGGCCTGGGCTTAGTTTTGTTTCCAGTCAAGCCTAGTCATGGGACTAGAGCCTTGATTTAAGCTATATAAACCTTGAATTTGAAGGAAGCTACTAGACAATTTTAGCTGGTATGTGTAGAGGGAAATTGAATGCATATTTGAAGCTAAACACAGCTACCATGTTGCTTAGAGTCTTATCAACAATACAAGAGGATGAACTCATCTAATTTGTGCTCAAGTTTTCATATAATTGTTGTTCTTAATTGTCATTTTGTTTTCACACTGCAGCTCTATCAGAAGCATCTGTCATTGTGAGAAAGCACACGCCATTAACTAATCTGTTCATGTGCCTCTGGTTTAATGAGGTAGTTCGCTTCACCTCACGGGATCAGCTGAGCTTCCCCTACGTTCTCTGGCGGTTGAAAGTGCTCAAGAACATCAATATGTTCCCTGTTTGTACCCGCAAAGATCTTGTTAATAGCATGGGCCACTTACGCAAAGCTAAGCCCTTAACAACTTAATTGGTCTTTTGGTAAAAGTTGCATTTTAGATTTGTTCCATCAGGGCACTGAGGGTGAGGAGCATATAGGTTGTATTTCTTCTTCTTATTATTTTTTAATTATTTTAAAATGATTTATCTGCAGCAGTGTTGCTGTCATTTTTTAAAAACCAAGAAAATCAATCTGGATGTGCTTTAATTTTTTTGATTAAGGGTGTATTTATTATATTTTTTATTATTAATTTATTAAAAAAATAAAAGTTGATTAAAGTTTTATTAATTATTTAATTAAATTATTACACATAGTATTAATATCGAAAATATAATTTATTTTTGAAAATTTTTATATAAATTAATAATAAAAAAAGTGCAGTAATATGCTCTAAAGCATAAATTAATTTTTTTTTTTCAATTGAAAAAGTTTTGATGAGTTGTTTCATTGCCAATAATTTTATCAGAAAAATAAATAAATAAATAAATAAATATTATGAACCATTAAAAAAAAAGAAAGGAGGGAAATCGAAAATGATGGCCCGGCTCGGCCAAGCCCAGACTTATAGAACCCGTTACCCACCTTTTCGCGTTTCCTTTTTGAACTTTTCCAAATTTTCTCGAATTATACCATTTTTTTCCTTTTCTTTCTGAGACTGTAACTGTCAATCACGATTCACGGACTGTTAAGCCCGGTTCTTCCCTGAAGAAGGAAGGAGAAAGCAGAAACTCAAAGGTAAGAGAAAACAGGAAGCTGAGCAAGCATAATGGCAAAATCAAGCGCCGACGATGAGGAGCTGCGGCGAGCCTGTGAGGCAGCAATCGAAGGCACCAAGCAGAAGATCGTTCTGTCGATTCGTGTGGCCAAGAGCCGCGGGATCTGGGGCAAATCTGGCAAATTAGGCCGCAATCATATGGCCAAACCTAGAGTTCTCGCTCTATCCAGTACGTCTTTTCTTATCTAATTCACCATCACGATCAATCTTCACTTCGCAATTGTGCATTCTCGATTATGAAATACATCTAGACTTTGTTTCCGGTGTCGCTGTGTTTTCTCTATCTAAATTTAGGAGGCAATCTTTGTTCTCGCCTGCTGAATTTCCATTGATTATTCTAGGATTATGTTAAATGTCGTATTAAGCTCGAGCTAAGAATTGAGATAAATTCCGCGAACCGGTGGTATAGTATAGTTCAAATTAAGAAATAGATAAGGAAATGAATATGATGCTCTGCTATTTTAGCTGAGCGAATGTGTACTTCATATCTGGATTTCAATTTTTGGAACTTCTTTCTGTATCAACACAACTGAGTATGCTCTTAATGACAATGATTGAGATGCATTGTTAATCAAAATTTTATGTTCCTCTGAATTGATTCTCTCCTAATAGAGGAATAAGTTGATTAATATTAAAGAACAACAATATATTTCAGGACTTTATAAATCTCTAATTAATTTGTTATAATGACAGTTTATCAAGAAGAAAATTTAGTGGAAGGCTTCTAAACTTTCAAAGATGCATTTTAAATAAAATGTTTTAAAATGTAGGTTTCCTGCATCTTCTGAGCTGTAGCTTTTTGAGCACTTGAAATCAATGAGCTATGGGTGTAGACAAAGGTTTTGCAATAAATTGAAACATGTGCTAGAAATGCAGTATGTTTTGGTGTTAAGAAATTTTTGTATTATAGAGTTAGTGGGAATAGGTTGAAGAATTTAACAATGATGTTTCCCCCATCAATGGGAAGCAAGCAGAAGAAGAAATGATTCCTATTCCAGTATTCCTTTAAGCTTAGCTAATTAAATATTTCGTTGTTGTTATGATGTTATCCTTTTGAATAAATTCCAATGAATTCCTTGAACCTTTTGATGATCGCATTGTCAAAGATGGCCTGTATTATTTTGTGCAGTAAAAACGAAGGGACCAAGGACTAAAGCTTTCTTACGAGTCTTGAAATATTCAACAGGAGGTGTTCTTGAGGTAAATACCATTTTCTCATTTTTTGTTTTCAAAAGAATACAGTATTGTTTTTTATGACTATGTCAACAGTGATGGCCTGTGTTATTTCACTACATTTTTAGCTAGTAAGAGATACAATGTTGTTCTTAATTTTTCATAAGGTTTTATGTTTTCTTAGATCATATCTTCACATGTGAAAGTTTCATCCTACATGCAGGCTGCTAAGCTTTACAAGTTGAAGCATCTTTCAAAGGTGGAGGTTATAACTAATGACCCCAGTGGATGCACTTTTACCCTGGTAATGGTCTTTCTAATACTTTCTTTTCCTTTTTGTTTTCCCCAAGAATGCTTTATGTTCTTTGTCAGTTCCAGTAGATTATATATTGCTGGACAACCTCAGTCGAAAAAGCACTAGAAAAGAAGCAAAAGCTATTTTGACCTTGAAATTTAACTTCTATCTGCATCCTCTCCCTGTGACTCATTATTTTTTTTAACTTTTGACTGCACTTCTATTAGGGATTTGATAACCTCAGAAGTCAGAGTGTTGCCCCACCACAGTGGACCATGCGCAATATTGATGATAGGTAACAAGTGGAGCCAATTGTACACTTTTTTTTTCCCCTTTTCTTCTATTTTCTATATGAAGACACTTAAGAACTAGAGTTGTGACTTGACTGGAGGGTCTGGAATTCAAACCTCACATCAATTTTTGACTGCAGGAATAAAAGGAAGAAAAATCTAAGATGAATTTTTTCTGTGTTTATGTGGTTCTGTATCAGTAATCACTGAATCTGATAATTTTCTTCTTTTTTTTTTCTTTTTTTTTCCTTTGCTTATAATATTTTAAATTTTTTAGGAACCGCCTATTACTTTGCATCTTAAACATGTGCAAAGATATACTTGGTCGTCTTCCCAAAGTTGTTGGTATTGATGTTGTGGAGATGGCTCTTTGGGCCAAGGTGTGTATGATCATTTTATTGTGTCCTACTTTAAGTTCTATAAACTTCTTTGGGTGAGGAAAATTTCAAGTAAAATTGCTTTTTGTAGATTGCATTCCAAAACTTCCAATTTGAAATTCTAATAGCTGTTTTTAATATTTGATTTGTTTTAGATAATCCTGTTTAGGTATTCTGTATAAGATCCTTGGCTTTGCATGTTGCTAATTTTCTTCAGCCTTTTCCTCTCTGATCTGTTTGAATATGCAATAAGAATATAATGGGTAGCCTGTACCCTATGGAATGGAAAAAAATTCATGTGAATGCCTGTTAGTGGAAGCTGTACTACTACTCTGTGAGAATCATACATGAATAGTTTCTGAGATTTATTTTTAGTAACATATTAATATGCTCGGCTTCCATCTGGTTGTGTTTACATGATATGTTTGGATTGTTGAATGATTATTTGGTGAGAACCATTTGTCTATGCTTCAGAGTAATAATCATCTTTTTATGGCCAGAGAGTGATATTCCCTTTGATCTCGTTAAATTTCAGTTACCTTTACTTAGTATGGTGTTAAAATTCTCCTTCATGCCTTTTCCTTTCTTCTTGGACATAGGAAAATACACCTGCAGTTACTACCACTCAAAGGACTCTGCAGGATGAGCCTGTTGAAACTGCAGTAACAGGAAGTGACATGAAAGTCAGTGTTGAAAAGGAACTTGTTGCTCAAGATGAGGAAGAGGACATGGAGGCTCTTTTGGGCACGTATGTATTTCTGATATTCTGTTCTGAGGTTCTCTAGTTAGGTTTGGATGTGCTTTATTCTTAGTTAATTAATGGGACAGCTTAAGTTGCTAGCATGAAATGCAATGTGATAAAAAAAGGGAGATAAAGGCATAATATATGCTTGTCTCTGATTCCTTGAAAAATGAAGAGGAGGATTCTTGGCATGAAACTTTTGTTTGATTTATGATGTATAATAATGCTGACCTTTTGTTTTACTGTGTGGGATAAGAAAGATATTATTTATCAAATGAATGGTTTTGACCTGACACTTATCTATATCACTTTGAGAAAACATTTGTTGACAATTCAAAAAACAACAACAACAGCAATAATAATAATAATAATAATAATGATAAATAAATAAATAAATGCATTGCTTCTTCCTGCATCATTTCTTTTTTTCTTGTGATTCTTGCACAATCTTTATTGTATGTCTGATATTTTAAGCACTTTGTCCACAGTTATGTCATGGGTATTGGTGAGGCAGAGGCATTTTCCGAAAGGTTGAAGCGAGAACTTCTTGCTCTGGAAGCAGCAAATGTACATGCCATTTTGGAAAGTGAACCTCTGATAGATGAAGTACTTCCTTTTACTTAGCTGTGCCTTTTCTTTTGGATATCTTTATTTTCCCCTCTGAGCCTTATTGTCATATATATGTTTCTATGAGTAGGCAGTTTAAGGAAGGGACTGCTTTTTTTGTGCATCCCATGGTTTACCATGATTTAAGTCCTGCCCAGACCCTTTTTTTTTCTCATTAGGGGTTGGATTCAGGCCTGGGGCTGTTTGGCCAAGCTTTTTTCTAACAAGCTTTTCAAATTCAAAATGAATTTGAAATTTGTTGGAGGGAAACTTGGTTTTGGCCAAAAAAAAAAAAAAATTAAGCAAGTTTTGGTAAAAGCTTCAAATCCTTGGTACTATCTCTTGCATTTTGCACCTGAATGTACTCACTTTTCAAGGTTCTCTATTATGTAGTGTTGCAGAAAGCACTAGGTAGTGGTGAGGCATTACCCCATTGCCTAGTGCCTAGGGTGCCTAGTGTTTTCTCTCTCTTCTTCTTTTTTTTTTTTAATGAAATTTTTTTAAAAAAAGAAGGACTAGGTGTTCTAGGTGGAGCCAAATGCCTAGGTCCACTGCCTAATGGCTAGGCAAGGCAGTGGCCTATCACCTGTCGTACCTTTTAGACATGCTTCTTACAACACTGCTATCTTGATTTCATTTGGTGGCCCTTAATGTGTTATCATACTCTTAAATGGAGCTAATAAGGTTGTTTGTTGTGCCTGAAGAACTTCTCTTTACTTTCTGTCCCTATTAGCTGCTTCCATGATAATACTGATGGGCAGAAATGACATTTATAATCACTAATAATTATATTTATCACTTGTGAAGCAGCTAATTGTTTGAATTCTTGTTCTCACAGGTACTGCAAGGACTCGAGGTAGCAACAAACTGTGCTGACGACATGGATGAATGGTTAAGCATCTTCAATGTCAAATTACGACACATGAGAGAAGATATTGAGTCGGTAGGACCTTTAGATATGAATTTTCATTATGTTGGATGGTTGTGTTACCTTGTCTGATAGTTTTGGTATTAATGGTATTGTTTTTGTCCTTAAAACTGACTGCTAATTTATTCTCAAAATGAATGGTTTGAAGTTTATTTTTAATTCTTTGTAATGACATGCAGATTGAAACTCGCAATAACAAGTTGGAGATGCAATCTGTAAATAATAAAACACTTATTGAGGAACTTGATAAGCTTCTTGAACGGTTGCAAGTCCCTTCTGAGGTATTTTCTCCACCTCTGTTATTGTGTTGATACAAGGAGTTAGTACTTGTTCACCTGATAATGTCTTATTGGTTATAGCATGCAGCATCTCTTACAGGAGGATCATTTGATGAAGCTCACATGCTTCAAAATGTTGAAGCATGTGAGTGGTTAACTGGTGCTTTACGTGGTCTTGAAGTACCTAATTTGGACCCCGTTTATGCGAATATGAGAGCTGTATGGACTCTGCCTCAATCTGTTTATTCATTTTTTTTAAGGTTTTGGTGTGGAAGATTGTTGAGTACATTGTATGGAACACAACAACTTTCTAGATGCTCATTCATATTAAAGTAGCCCAGATTTTTTGGAATTTTTCTTCATGAATAATGTAATGGACTGGTATCACAATTAAATCTGGATTTTGAGGTGTTTGCTGTTGTGAATTAAAATATATCTTTCTCCATGTTTTTGCATTTGTTTCAGGTTAAAGAGAAACGAGCAGAACTTGAAAAATTAAAAGCTACATTTGTCAAGAGAGCTTCTGAGTTCTTGAGAAACTACTTTGCTAGTTTGGTGGATTTTATGATTAGTGACAAAAGCTACTTCTCTCAGGTACTTTTGTAACTTCAGGTAGTCTCCAAGTCAATAATCAAGTATCATTGTTATATCAAATATGTAATTGGGATTCCTGTAGTTGCTAACCTGCTTTCTTCCAACAGCGGGGACAATTAAAGAGGCCTGATCATGCTGACTTGCGCTATAAATGCAGGACATATGCTCGTCTTCTCCAACATTTAAAGGTAAAGTTTGTAATCAGTTGCCCTTAAAGATTATGCATTTCTCCAGTTCTTTTCTAACTCTTGATCATCCTTTTGATTTCCAGAGTCTTGATAAGAATTGCCTGGGTCCACTGAGGAAAGCTTATTGTAGCTCCCTTAATTTACTTCTACGCCGAGAGGTAAGGGAGCAGAGTCATCTAGAAATTTTATCACTATTTTATTTTTGGCAGCATGTTTATATTTGGCTCAAGGAGTATCCTTACTTCTTCCCCCACATCCCCAATAAAAAAATAAAATGGAAAAAAATTCCACTATTTCTTGTCTTCTTTATCTCTGTGGAAAATAATTACTGAACCCTGATTCAGTATGGAAATGAAAATATGGTTAAACAAGTAGATTTTAAGATTCAAGTGGTTAAGAGGGTTTTGATGTATGGTTTAAAAGTTTTCTCATTCATATTCAGGCTCGTGAATTTGCAAATGAACTTCGTGCTGGCACCAAAGCATCAAGAAATCCAACTGGCTGGCTTGAAGGTTCCACGGGTTCCAGTCAAAGTGGAAATAGTGCAGATACTTCTGCAGTTTCTGAGGCATATGCCAAAATGCTGACAATTTTTATCCCACTCCTTGTTGATGAGGTTACAGTCCTTATGCATGTGTCATGAAATATGAGTTATATTAAAAGTTAATTCCTTCATTGCTCAAACTGCAGAGCTCCTTCTTTGCACACTTCATGTGCTTTGAAGTTCCAGCACTTGTTCCCCCGGGAGGTGGTGCTAATGGTAACAAAAGTGGGTCCAACAATGATAATGGCAGTGATGATGATTTGGGCATCATGGACATTGATGACAATGACAGCAAAGCTGGTAGTCCTTTTACTAATACTGCTTTATTGTTTAGGCATAATGTATGCTAGGAAGTTTGTCTTCTCTTAAGTCTCAAACCCTGAAAAATATGCAAAACTGTTTTGACTTTGTAGTTAAAAATTCTGTGGATCTGGTAGCATTAAATGAATCTCTTCGGGATTTGCTGGACGGAATCCAAGTATGTTCTTTGAGTTTTCTGGCACTAGAGTTTTTTTGGAATCTAAACTTGGGTTTTTATATATTTTTTTATTTTATGAATTTTAGGAAGACTTTTATGCTGTAGTGGATTGGGCATACAAGATTGATCCTTTACGCTGCATATCAATGCATGGGATTACAGAGCGCTATCTATCTGGTCAGAAAGCCGATGCAGCAGGTTTTGTGCGTCTGCTGCTAGGTGATCTGGAGTCAAGAATTTCTCTGCAGTTCAACCATGTATGTTTAAGTTGGAAACTGGAAAGATTTAAGGCCATTTCCTTCTGGTGTTGTGATTCTAACCAATTTAACCTGTGAATTATATCACAGTTTGTTGACGAAGCTTGTCACCAAATTGAAAGAAATGAGCGAAACGTGCGGCAGACAGGTGTCATACCTTACATCCCTAGGTAAATTGGATTCTTGGGTCTATGCTTCAAATGCTTTCCAGTGAAGTTGTGTTCTTTTATAACCAAAAGATTTTGATTTGAGGATGAAGTGATAATATTTACTATTTAAAGCAAGTAAATGAGAGCATTATTATCTCATTAATGGTCATAATTCTCCAGGCTTATTTGTTATATCTAGGTATTAAACAGTTATGCATGTTTTTATTGAAGAAAAAATTAGTGCTTTGTTTATGCATCTGGAGCTAAAAATGTCATCTTGCCTGTTTGCTCCATGGAATTACTGGTCTTCCTACCTTTTGCTTTCACCAAGCCTAACTCTAGATTCTTTAGTGCATCACTTTGTAACAATTAGCGACTATGAAATTACAAACTTTGTTGCGCTGTAAAAAATTACTGCCTTTCTAGTTAGCCAACCATCTTCTCAAGGAATCATGATCCTTAGGCATTTGGCCAACTTCTCAGATATTGAAATTGGACTACCTGAACTACTTTGAGATTGTTTCAAAGGTATGTTTGCCTCTTTTTTTTCTTTTTTTTTTTTTTTTTTTTTTTTTTTTTTTTTATCTTGATTGATTTTTGAAACACACTTGCTAATTGTTATAAATGATATTAAATTTACCATCTTAGGAGAGAATGAACTTTTGTAGATAGGGTTCTGTATGGCTGCTGGGCAATGGGAAATATGAATTGGAGGCCTATTTCAAAATATTAGTTCAATATTAGAAGTTGGAAATGATTTTTTTGCTCTTCCATGTGTTTGTTGCTAGCACGGTGTAAAATTTTCTTTTATTTGTTTGTTTGGCAGCATGCTGTAAATTTTCATGAATAGCTATGACAGATATCTTTGTTTTGTGCTTTATTATTTTCTTGTTTATGGACATCAAGTATTTAAATTTCTTTGAAACTATAATATGTTCTACACAGGTTCGCAACTCTAGCAACCCGTATGGAGCAGTACATCCAGGGACAATCTAGGGATTTGGTTGACCAAGCATACACCAAATTTGTAAGTGCAGAGTGCTATGTTTTTAAGCAAACAACGGTAGAGCAGACAGAGAGATATTGTTTTTTAGTGACCCAGAATGGATTTTACAATAGTTTGGGTGTTATGATTTTAATTTTAAACTTCCTTTTCACAAAATAAATTTTTAAAAAAATTTATTGAAAGAACCATACAGACTTTTGAAGGCATGGATGCCTGAACTCATGTTTGGATTAAGCAGAACTGATCTCTATTTTAGAGAAGAAGATTCTAAAAGTGCCCTCATAAATCAAATATCATTTAAAGTTGTCAGAGATGAAGTGTTCCTCTTTTTAATGTCTGATTCATGGTTAAAGCCTACAAAAATGACAACATTGTCAAATTTTGCTTTTCTTGATCTGTAGAACACATACCCCTAAGGCACAGTTGATGCAGACAAAAACATGATTGCATTCTCCATGGAAGGAATTGAATATGCATACAGATTAATCCTCGATATTTCAAAGTTTAAACTCATATCAATATCTGCAGTCTTTGATATATATATTTTGTTACCGAAGTTCTCTGTTAATGTTGTTTCACAGGTGAGCATCATGTTTGTGACTTTGGAAAGAATTGCACAAACTGATCCAAAATATTCTGATATATTTCTTCTAGAGAACTATGCAGCATTTCAGAATAGGTATGCTTCTTGTTATCTCAAATTTGTGTATTATTTGTTTTTATTAAGTCTTCCTCTTGACTCTTAGTCAATTTTCTCTTTTTTCAACACTGATCAGAAGCAGTTGCTTGCAGCTTGTATGATCTAGCCAATGTTGTGCCTATGTTAGCCAAATTTTATCACCAGGCCAGTGAAGCTTATGAACAAGCTTGTACACATCATATCAGCATGATAATATACATGGTATTTTCTTTTTTCCCGCAATAATTTTCAAGTATCACTATCCACATAAATTATTTACTGACTGAAATGCTGTCAAAGTTTTCAAGGTTATGATGCATATTATTTTGTGGGTTCCCTTTGCAGCAATTTGAAAGACTTTTCCAGTTTGCTCGAAAGATAGAGGATCTGATGTATACCATAACACCAGAAGAGGTTAGTAAGTTAATGATATTACATAACATTATTCACGGTGATATTTGGTTTGGTTTCTGAACAAAGAAAGATTAACTTAAACATACCAACGCCCACCCCTATTTATGGGCACATTTAAACTCAATTTTTATAGCACTGAATGAGATTGCAGTATCTGAATACCGTATGCAGCCTACAGCTTATGGTGGGTAAAGGAAATCCATTAATAAGCCTCGCATTAGTGCCATTGCTCATCCCTGCAGATTTATGGATTTCTTTTTAACCTTTAAATTACAGATTCCTTTCCAACTGGGAGTTTCTAAAATGGATCTCAGGAAGACGTTAAAAGCCAGTTTAGCAGGGGTAAGTCAGTCAATAATCTTTAGAAATTATTGTTTCTTTAGATAAAATATTGAAATCAATTCGTCAAACTCTTTCCGGTACAGGTTGACAAGTCCATTGCGGCAATGTATAAGAAGTTGCAGAAGAATTTGGTATCTGAAGAACTGCTGCCTTCTCTGTGGGACAAATGCAAGGTAAGCCAATTGCTCTATGAAAAAATGAATAATCAAAACTTGATAAATTTTACCAAATCATTGAATACGATTGCAAATAAAGAGCACTAAAAGTTAATACTACCAACAATTTTATTGGGAAAACTTTGCGTTGGATTATTGGGTAATGGGGGAGTAGAGAAGTACTTTTCCTTTGGTAATAGAGGGGAGTGGAGAAGTAGATATAGATATTGTTTCAATTTGGTAGCTGCTAATTCTGTGATATATATATAGTAGTCTGGCAAATGTGACCATTGATTGGGGGAGGATGGCCTGACATTTAGAGGCTCTACCCATTAATGGTTAAGATTGTGCAGTTTGATGCAGGTTGGACTGCACAACACTTTTCTGTATATATAAAGCTCATTAATAATTTGTGTTGTAAATTTGACAGAAGGAGTTTTTGGAAAAATACGACAGCTTTGCCCAACTTGTTGCAAAAATTTACCCCTCCGAAACCTTCCCTTCCGTGGCAGAAATGAGAGAACTCCTCGCTAGCATGTAGAGAGAATTTTTTTTCCCGTGTACAGTCTTTTGTCGCTCATTTTTGAGTTGAGAACTATATTGAGCTGCTCTAATTATTCTTATTATTCTTGTGTAGTTTCCTTTCGTTCTGCTAATGATCCAAATGGCCCCTTTTCCAATTTATTATGAATTTTTAGGGCTAATTTATGATTAAACGCTTCTATAAAAGAGCTAGTCAAATAAATTTTCTACGAAAATTACGAGCCAAACAAACTCATAGTTTATAAAACTTTTGTTGCTTGTCAATCACTGCTTGTGACTGTATAATAGTTGATACTTCACACTTGGTTTCACCTTGTTGAGGATTAGAAGTTTTAAATTTAGGAAATTTCTAGCACGTGCCCTTGGTGATGCATTTATTGTATTTTTGTTAATTAATTTATAATAAAAGTTAAAAAAAAAAATTATTGCATTTTTCTAGTATGGGCCTTAGGTGATGTATCTTTTTATAATTATTTTTAATTTTATTAATTATTCAATTCAAAATATACATGTTATATTAGTAATAAAAATAAAGTTAAGTTTTGTGACTTTTAATAAAATTTAAATATACAAAATATAATCAATATATTCTCAATCTATACTTTTAAGATATAGAGGAGGCTCCACGTCCCATGGGTTGCAAGACGGTGGAGAAGTGGACGCTGAAGAAGAATGTCGAATCGGGGAATGTGATTTACATGTTGAATTTTCCCAAGCCTTGCCCCAAATGCAACAGACCAATTGAGAAAAATCAAGGGTAGCCGCCCTGCTGCTGTCAAATTTGCTGGCTTTTCCTTGGACCTTATGGAACTCATAGGAAGCGCAACGGTTATGAGACAAGTAAAAACTAAAAACGAGGTAATGAATAGGAAGGCCCCGGATATATAGAGAGATATGCTCACTACTTTGAACGATGGGCAAATAATGAAAAATCGATGAAAAAGGCTCTGGCAGATCTGAAGAATGTAGAAGAATTACAGCTTAAACAGTTCAGCCAAGTTCAGTGCCAACCAGTGCAGCAACTCAAGTTCTTGACTGAGGCTTGGCGGTAGTTAGTTGAATACCGGGGAGTTCTAAAATGGACACATGCATATGGGTATTACTTACCGGATGAAGAGAAGGCGAAGAAGCAATTCTTCGAACATCCGCAGGGTCCGGTTGGGTCTGGGTAGGAAAGGCTTCATCACTGTGCCGAGTGGGAGCTGGAACCGTTCTTCTACGCAGTAACCATGCGCTCAATTCTTAGAGTTCAAGAAAAAACTTGATCGGTTAGCATCGGTGACTAGAAATTACACTCGGAATCTGGTTAATGCTTTGGCGAATGGCCTCTCCGATGTACATTCCAGTTCCATACATCCTTCTGCCTGGAAGGTGATCGATTTTTTCAATTTCCGGCCACGTAAAACAACAAAGAAAATCAGATTTAAGAAGCATGTGAATGTAGAAACTGAAGAGCTAACGATTTTTCCGGGGCCGTGGACTTGTCAGAGGTGTACCTTCATCAATGAAAGCCACACCGAGGTGTGCATAGTCTGTGGAACAGGTCCTTGGTCTTGTAATCGATGCACCTACGCAGCCAACCCAAGAATATATTTATGCAAACCATTGATATACAATGTTATTATTTTCTTGTTTCAACTCAGGTATTACATAAAATTTTTCCTTTTGCTAATGTATGTGTGTATACGTACAAAAAATAATTCTGCAAAAAGAATTGCTTGCATAAAAAAAAAAAAACGGAACTAGAAAATTAAGATCGATGTATCTCTTCGATCTTGTACAAGTATTTTGTAATTTCTATAGAATCCTTAAGCTTCCTATCTTCAATGGACCACCAGAAAGTCTTGAAAGAACGAATATACAGGCTGAGGAAATTAGTATGGCTCCAGCAAAACAGACGAAATCTAAACTGGTAACAAGAGGTATGCTCTTGAATTTCTCTAAAATTCCCACTTGGAGTATCATCATCACGGCGTGCCCAATTTTCGATTTTGCTTGTGAAACACAGTCCATTTTGATCCATGTTGGAGGTGTCTGAAAGAATGAAATGAAATTATGCATCTCATGGTTGTTATTTAGGATAGATATGTGAAAGATAATTAAAAGAAAACAGAGTAACTGTATATATATATACCTTCAAATGGAAGAGACCAAACAAGTTAGACCTTGGTAGAGATGGATTTGGTCCGTTAATATTCTTTGATCCCACAAACATGACATACAAACCCATACCAAAGATAAGCATGGCAGTTCCAACCAAGAACATATCTGTTTATCACAAAAGAGAATAGATTCATTAGGACATTTAGAATTGATAAATGCATTATTTACAGAAAAATATATATATTATTAGAGATAAAAAAAAAAAAGTTTAATAATAACTCAATATGAGAACTTAGTTAGCTGAGAATATCATGTTACAGAAATTCTCATGACACAATAAAATTTTTCTTGTACATATGTGAGTAGATTGATTGAGAGAGAGGATACCATACCCATGGCTTCTATGAGTGATTGAACCATATCTGCTTGATTAAATTTCTGTGATAATGAATGGAAATACTGGAAATATGACTCCAAAACAAGCAAACAGCCCTGCAATTAATTAATATTCCAATTACAAGGTGTCACTTTCACTATTAAATATAGAAAAACAAACATCCTTCGTTTTGGTAAATTTTCTTTGAAATTAAAATTGATACCTCCATGAAACACAGAACTGAGCCAAGTAAGGATCCCGCAACAGCAAGTACAGTAAAGAATCGACAATCAATTATAACCTGCATGATTTCACCCCTATCAATTTAATCTTTTATTTCAAAATGTTGATGGAGTAAAATCCTTGTAACATAATGTGTTTCTCCTAATTTCCTGCAAATTTAGTCACTATTGATTGGCTGAAGTTAATGGAGAAGTATGACATACCCTTTCGATGAAAGTTTGAACATCAAATCTCAAAGGTTTGAGCATCTTAAGCAGGGCATCCGGTGCATTTGCCAGCTGACACACCAAATCTTTTCCTTGTTCAACTAGCGGCTTTGATGCGATCAGAGACTCTGATGCAACCACAGAAGCCTTCATAGCCACCGTTGATTTCCTTTCGCCATTCCCGGAAACCTTAGTCTCTCCATTGAACCCAGTCGCCTTGGCTGTACACCTCACTCTTCTCACCGGAGAAGAAGAGGAGGAAGAAGAAGAGAAAACATAGTCCACAGGCTTAGACGCACGCAACAATCTAGCGGTAGCCATTTTTCCTCTGGAAGGTCTTAATGTTTGATTATTCTGGTGGCTAAAGGCGGGGGGGCATATATATACCGTTCAATTGAAGAGAAGATTCCCAGCATCTCAGTTACATTGTCGGTACTACATACCGAACCCTTTTCCACTTTTCTTGGAAATGTTGTTTTGGAAAATTTGACGGTCCATGGTATTCTGCTCACGTGTCTAAACGGCATTATGCTCACGTGCATTTTGTTGATTTTATTTCTAGTCCGTGTGGGCTCAGTTTTGTTCTCAGCCGAACACGTGTCGGCCAGTGTTCTACAAGAAAACAATGTAAGGACGATGCCGGCCGAGAATTCTGCGCCGTCAAGGAAGAATAGTCAGCTTTACGTGATGGAGGGAGTGAGGAAAAAGCATAGTATCACACGACTGCTACCGTTGGCTTACTTTTCTGGGGGTCGTGGCCACTTCTGTAATCAATAATCATATTCTTAAATTCATCACCTACGATTCAGTTTCACACCGGCATGTGTTTTCTTTAATTATCATGCGGGCTGTGGTTAAGGGTTTGATATTATAAGTTATTTTAACTTTAAGATGGATGAGGAGGATTGAGGAAAGAGATGGCTGTATATTATTGTATAGCCTATCAATTAATGGAAAAAAAAAAAAATATTACGATGCGGTTCAAAAGTGCTTGAGACACAATATCATAGGATTCGATTCAGAAAATAGAAGGTTTTTCTTGATTACTCATCACGCCGTATTTTCTGTAATAAGGTTAGGAACCCGAAGCAGCTAATGCAATGCACAAGATTCATACAAAGAAATTAAAACCTTTTTGCTTCTTATCCTTGACCAGATTTTGTGAGAAACCAATCTATAGATGACAGAGGGAAAAAAAATATCTCAGACAAATGCCTTGATTTGACCTGAAGGTGAGTGGATTAAAGAGATCGGACTCGTCATCTTTTTCAATCATCACAGAGAAAAATTCCCACATTTTCTTACATCAAAATGAGTAGAAAAATCCTACCCAGCACAGAGTTTCTGAGAACTGAGAAACAGTAGGCAGGAGAGGGAGTGAAGGGGAGGTCTCGTCGGTCTTTTACATGGTCAACAATATTTTTCTAGGTTTTGCTGTCAGGTGAGGAATGAAAGTACAAAACAGACCGGAGGTAAAGAGCCTGAAATGTCCAATCTAACCTTCCACAGTGAAATCAAAGTCGACTCTGTTTCATCCCAGTTCCTAAATCCTCGGTTTCTCCGCTGTGGGGAATTGTTCTTCAAAAGTTTGATCCTTTTCAATGGCTTAATTTCCTCAACTTCTATGATTCTTGCTCCAAATCTATATTTGGGAGCAATCCCTCTAAATCCTCGAAATAGATCATACCGACCTCTTTCTCACATCCGGGTATCCGTGCTGAAATCAAGAACGTAAGTTGATCTGTCTCTTTAAGGCATTTTCACAAACACATAGCGTGCAGCTTACAGAACTCAGTTTTGCCTTTAATTTCCCAGGTGCGAGTGTTTTGATTTGCATAAGGAGCTTATTCCATACGGGAAGGCATGGTCTTGGCAGAAACAGATTGTTAAAGAGAAGAAGGAATTAATTGAAAGAAATGGGGATTGCCCGGATACTTTGATTGTTCTTCAGCATCATCCTGTGTATACCATGGGCACTGGTAGCTCAGAAGAGTACCTGAATTTTGATGTAAAGGAAGCTCCTTTTGATGTTTATCGAACCGAGCGCGGTGGGGAAGTAACATACCATGGACCTGGACAGGTAATTCCGCCGCCAAACTTCCAATTGCAGAGTTAGAATTTGATTCTTGATATTTACTTTGTTAGGTTAAGTAAGTACCCTTTTAGAAGGATTTAGAATTAGGCCTGTAATTTGCCTCTCCATGACACACTTAGGAGTTGGGAATATTAGATTCAGGATCAAAAACAGTTCCCAGTGTGCAGAGCTATGCTAACAATGGCTAAGCAAGTATTAAACTTGAACATGTAAAGTAAAAGCAAATAATTTTGACAAGATCATCTCTTTGAACTGACTTTTGCTGCATATGTTGCATGTAGCTAGTTATGTACCCTATTATCAATCTCAGAAATCACAAGATGGATCTTCATTGGTACCTCAGGGCGCTTGAGGAAGTGGTTATACGGGTTCTTTCATCAACATTTTCTATTAAGGCTTCCCAGATTAAAGGTTTAACTGGCGTTTGGGTTGGTATGTCTTCACATCTTTGATTCTACATACTACTGAATTGCATAATGTTAATCTGTTTCACTTACAATCTCTCTGTCAGTTAAAGGTGACTCTGGAACCTTCATGCAATTTTAGACCTGTTACTAATTTTCTATTGCTTTTGTTTTATCTCAACACTTTCTTCTTTCCTTCAAATCTAATTTTCGTAGGGAAACAAAGAACTTACTTCCATGACTGTTTCCTGATCATTCTTTCCAACTTTCTTACCTCAGGAGATCAGAAATTGGCTGCAATTGGGATTAAAGTATCTCAGTGGATAACTTACCATGGATTAGCTCTGAATGTCACCACAGATCTAAAACCTTTCAATTGGATAGTTCCATGTGGGTTGCGGAATTGTAGGGTTGGAAGCATAAAGGGATTACTAGAAGAATTCTGGTCATCCAAAAGATGCGAGAAAGCCAATATGCATCATCCTGATGATTGTCAGCTGATTGATATCTCATATAAATCCCTGATTAAGGAATTTTCTGAACTTTTCCAGCTTGAAGTCCACCAACAGACTATTCAAATGTTGGATTTTTGAATGTTTCATTGAGAGTTAAGGCTTGTCTTATAATCCTTGAATTAAAACTAGGTCTGAACACCATGTGTAAGATTTACTTACCCTCAACTATTAGGGGTTTATTTTATCATTATTCTCTTCACTTGCATTGCATCCTGAGTCCTGTTTACAGAGAAGGAAGCTTGTTTCTAGTTTGAAGTTTTTACATTCTTATTGAAATTTGAGGAAAATTTTGCAAAATCGTAATGATTTAGGATCTTATAAATTCTCATTTGCCTTTCATATTGGGATATGTCATCTCTGGCAGTGACCCATGTGCTTTCAAGAATTATTCTGCCTTCTTAGATGAATCCACATCAAGTGTAAAAACCAAAGAGCTGCAATTTGATTATCTGGATATTTTGAAGCAACTTTCAAGTTTGTAAGACTAAAAGGCTGTAGAAACGGAATGTACATTAGAAATTTCAGACATCAATAGTCATATGCAACAGTTCTAGAAGGAAAAAGCCTCAGAAGAAACGTTGGTATGTCACTGCCATCCCAACCAGTGGGCTGCCTCTCTGTATCATTCTTTAGATGCTGGAGTGTCTCTTCCATTAAGAACATCAAGTTTTGAATGAATTGCTTTGGTTAACTGATACGGTCTATGTGCCTGCAAATTCAGCTCTAAGTCATCAAGATATTGATTTACTTTCAAAAATGAATCTGAATAGAGAATAGGTCAACTGTGTCAAAAATAATAGGAATTAGAGGCCAACAAGATGATGGATGCCTCTGAAGCAGTTTCTCAAAGACATATTGAGCTGCGCAGCCAACAATAAAAGGTGTCGCCGCAACCAAAGCTCTTAAAGCAAGCCCTGGCCAAGTAACACAGCAAAATGGGGAGCAAAAACCTTCAATCAAATGTGAAGAAAGCGGAAGATAAGTAACCCCTAAGGCCTGTGATGAGATCCCATCTCTTTGCGTTGAATTTTTCATATATGGCCTTTGGACATTGTTATACCCAATAGGAGCAAAGGAACCTGGCTCAAGTTTAGGAATCTTGTAGAATATTTCAAATACGACCGCCTAGCTTGAGCAATAGTCGTGAAGGTAGCATATTGGCTGTCCCCACCACTCGTTCTCTCTCTTCCATAGACATACACTCGCCTTGTTTGACACACACATCTCATCTATTTCACCACATACTTTTTCTCTCTCTAGGAATCCTCTCCTAATGTTGCGCATCGGAGAGCTAAGCTAGAAACCAACTCTAGTTTCTAGTTAAGCTCCAGCGTTCCTCTGTTTTGCAAGTGTCCATCGTCCATCTCTTCTAGCTCGTCTAGCTCACTGGAATCCTGTTACCCATTTTCTAGTGTTAACAGACATGGTCTTTTACAAGAAGGAAGCTTCCAAGACCCCCATAAAAAAGGAGATCAAAAGACAAGAAGACTGCAATTTCTGCAAAATATTGTCATGTTCAGAGATTACTGGAATAATTCAGTTTACAAAAGAACAGAACAGCTAGATCAAGTTGTCAGCCTTTTGTTCCTTACGCCAGGTTTCACACATTAACAGAACAGTTTTAAGGCAAGGCATGATCCATCCCAATCGTACCTCACTTCCTACTCAGTCTCTTTTTTCATTTAATCATCGTAGATGAACATTCTCCAATTAGATTACCAAAAATATTGATTTCTAAATATTCGAGTCAGCACCAGCCTCAGTGCATCTCTCCATTAGAGTCACTTTAAACCCTGGCATTCTGGCCTTAATTATATCCAACTTGGTATGAAAGTAACTTCACTAGATCATTGCAACAATCAATTCAATCTCAACATTAAACCCCAAAACTTTGTAATCGAAAATTGTGTGATTAAAACGACCAATCATTGTCAATGGTTTATTATACTTTTTTACCATTAATTTATATGATAAATTAGGAAAGTAAACATTATTTTTAACAAAAAAATCATGTTTTATATTTTAATTAGACAGTTAATGAAATTAAAGTTAATGTTTATTTTTTTAGATAAATTAATGGTAAAAAAATATAATAAATGCACATTTAACCTATACTTTTAAGGTGTAGGTTAAAAAAATTTATTGCTAAAATAACCAGGCAATATGCATTAACAAATTTAAATATGCATCAAATCAACTATTTCAACTAGACCACATTTTAAAAATAAAAACGATTCAAAGTAAGCAAAGGCTTGAATTATAATTAACATACTGCCAAATCACTAATTAAGTTAAAATTAATAAAAGCCTCAGTTACATTGGCAAGAAAAAAAATGCAGAAGAATTAACGAAGATATCAACACCATTGGATAGGAACAAGGCGTTGTCTTCTTGGCAAGCAACAAAGATCAATTAAGGATGAAAATGATAAAAATAAAAGTTAAAACATCAAAATGACTTTAATTAAAAAGTTAAAAACCTACCTCAGTTCTTGTTTCCCAAAAAATCCTCCCTTTGGTTGCCACCTGACAGATATACTAATGCATGCCACTTACTTTGTAGAAAAAGTCAAAAAATGACTTTTTTTTAATGACCTTCTTCTTTTAAGTGATTGACCTCTAAGTTAGATTGTTGGAAGAATGTTAATTTAAAAAAGAGATACACCTAGGACCATATGATTGGCAAGAAAGAGGGATGTTTTCCTACATAAATGGTTTGAAAATAATGTTTTGGAAATCACCAGGGACTTCCCACATTGAAGGTTAATCAAGTGTGTTTATTGATAAGGAAGACATATTCAACAACTAAAAGTAGACAACTAAAAGGAAACTACATGCTTAACAACTAAAAGACAAATGAAAACCAAAAATTGTTATGGAACATACCTAAAACACAAACTAGACTAAGGGGGATAGCGAACCTATGTATTAATTAAGAATTACACAGACTAATAAATTATACTTACAAACTGAAAATAAATTTGCAGACATACAAGAAAAGCTATATTACAGATGAAATTATTTTACTTACAAATCATACAGTATAAACGTAAAGCAGAGATGGAAGTAAATAAGAGTTTTGAAGTATAAAGAAACATGATTTCAGTAACATGATCTTAAAAACAATTGTAAAACTCAAATTAACCTCAATATCATATCTGGAATTTAATGTTTATGGATGTATAGATTGAGTCCATAAGAAGAACCTATGAAGGCTAAGAACATACAACGATAATAATAAAAATATGAGAAGTTATTGTTGGTAGAAAGTCCAATCCCATGCATGTGAACTCATGGACTTTGCATGTGAATGCATGGACTTTGCATGTGAACACATGGACTTTTCATGTGGTGAAATTTCTTCACCAACCTAGTTAGTTGTGGGCTAGAATTGCTTTGTTGAAATCATGCAAGATTTCATGTTGACCCATTTAATGAGCAAAGAAATATGGTGCATGAGTGGTTGGATTTTTCACTGTAAATACACATGCATGCAAAGGCAATGGGCAAGCAAGAGTGGGGGAAAGCAAGAGAAATTCAGTGAGAGCTCTAGTGAGAGAAAAGATAGAGAGAAATTGTGAGAAAATTCTTGTGTAGATTAAGAGAGTAGAGAGTATTAGGAAGAATTTGGGAGTTTTCATACATTGAAGTTAGGGTGTTGAGAGCTTTGTGAGTGAGAGAGCTTCTAAATTATTATACTCGTTTTCTTAATAGTGAATTTATTTCTCTTTTTCCCGTGAACGTAAGCTTGTTGAGAGGTATATAAATCGAACCACGTTAAATTATTGTCTCAATATTTTTATCGCTTTCGTTTGCTTGAGATTGTACTGCTCAAAATTCCCAACACTTATCTCTAATAGCACAAACGAAGTGAACTAGAACAAAACTACAAAACTAACCAAGAAACCAAGTGAAATCTAGTCTCAAAACTTCGATATAGAAAAATATGTTGCAGATTTGCTTGGTTTTGGAAATTCCTGCACTAGGTAGTCCTCTAACAAAACAGATGATTCAAACTAAAGTTTTGAACAAGAACTAGATTTCGAATTGCAATTTGGAAATTATGCTGAAAGCTGGCTAAATTGATCTGGAATTAAAACTGATTTGGGATTGAGATTACAGCGCATTAGGCATTTTTTTGAGAGGGGCAAGGCTGAAAAACTGATTTCTGTCAAAGGAGATGCTTTTACCTGGCCACGAGAGGTGTTTTACCTGGCCACTAGAGGTGCTTTACCTGGCCACTAGAGGTGTTTCCCATGTTTTTTGCACCACTTTCAATTACTGTTCGTGGATGTCTGCCTTGTTCCACGTCTGACAGCAACTATCCCTTGATTTTCTTCACGTCTAGCAATTACCTACTCTACTCAAGCACACTCCAAGATGATCTTCTTCCATTTAAACCTTGACTTCCTAATTTAAATTAAACACAATTAATTAAGAGATATCTCTATTTTTATGGTATAAATCAATGAATTATAAGCTAATAGTGGAGTAACTCTCCATGTAAATGAGTTTGGAGTACCTCTTATATTCCTATCAATAAAAATTTTTTTTGCTGATAAAAAAAAAAATTAAGAGATATAGTTTACCCTTTGCCAGGTGGCACCAACCCACCATTCACCCCCATTTGGGCTGCGAATTTTATAGCATACTCACTCCAGATTAGCACCCAAACCTACTGACTTAGCATATATCAGATCAATAACTGGGCTGCAATTTAATATTTTAAGTATTATGATGTTATAAAGATAATTTTTTTATATTATTTTTTAATATAATTTTTACATATTATTAAATAAATATATATATTTAATATCACAAATTTTATATAAATAAAAAAAATTAATTACTTAAATAACATGTTAAATTATCGTACAAAATAGTGCAAAAAAAAATTTGTCTTAAAATTATTTCCCTTTTAAGTATAAACAGTTCCATTTTCTGAAAAATCTAAGGTCCCATACCCCCTATCTCTCCGCCCTGATTTGAGAAAAACAAACAAAGACCGCGCCAACTGGCAACTGCCAAATGCACGTGCAACATGACCGACATTGTAAACCCAGAGTGAGAGTGGGGGCTTGCTCGGGAGTCAACAAGATGATCGAAGAACTATATATAATTTATTTGTCACACTAAAAAAATGTTGTCACATAAATATATTTATATTTTTTAAATAATTAATTATAGTATTTAGATATATTAATTTATTAAATAACTATATATAATTTATTCATGAATAAATGTTAATTATTATTTAAATTAATAATCAATAGTTATTTTTAATAATTATTTAAATTAAAATTAATATATTTTTTTATAAAAATAATACAAAATTTATGTGGATGTAATAAGCAGTGATATAAAAATAATTTTTTTAATATAATTTTTATATGTTATTAAATAAATATATATTTAATGATATATATTTTAAATAAATAAATAAAATTAACTATTTAAATAACATATAAAATTATATTAAAAAAATTATCCTCATTTTCTTGAATGCAACACTTTAATAACCATGCTCTAAGTACAGTAAGTATTTAGAG